TATTTTATTTATTTATTATTATTTATTTATTATTTATTTATTCTTATTTTTATTTATAAGTGTACCCTCTAATATTTGAAAGAGTGCAAACATGTAAATGTAATAACACAATGGATATCATTGTGTTGTTATTATAATTACTTTGTTAATTTTCTTTATTTATTCTTTTGTTTATTTTGGCCAAAGTGTCGCGACTCACCTGGGGGCCGCCGATGATGAAGAGGCCGCAGGGGTTGATGTGCACGACAGTTTGGTCGTCGAGATATTGCGCGGGGATGACAGTCTTGATGACTTTATTCAAAATCTCCTCTCGCAGTTCCTCGAGTGTGATTTTTTCGCTATGTTGGACCGAGACCACGACCGTGTGCACCCTTTGTGGTATGCAGGCGCCATGATCGAAGGTGTACTCGCAGGTGACTTGTGTTTTGGAGTCGGGTCTTGCCCACCAGAATTGGCCGTTTCGTCGCAATTCGGCGATTTGGTGGTTCAATCGGTGGGCGAGGACCACTGTGAGAGGCATACATTCTTCGGTTTCGTCGGTGGCGTAGCCGAACATCAAGCCCTGGGTTGGATTTTGTGTTATTATGGGTTTTTTGAAGAGGGGGAAAAATGTTCAGTAGCATTGCCCTTGTCTAATATGGATTAGATAGGAACGCCTTTTGCCACCGATTAATTTCGCACACTTATGGAACATTCCAGTGACGTAGAAAATCGCAAGAATGTGGACATTGTTGTGTGCAAAGTGGTGATAACCCGAGACACATTTTTAGCTGACAATTGGAATGATAAGCGGAAGTGTTGGTCTTTCCCCCTTTGAATTGTCGATTCATAAATTGATATGTGGCTAATTTTGGATCAAGTTTGTTTAATTACGGTTATCACAAAACGATAATTGGGAAAATTTTCGATTTTTTCGGGCCGATTAAATCACCAAATTTATCTAATGCGATATGTTATAGTTGCGAAAATTTGCAATATTTGTGTAATCCCAGTTTTAAGTTAGACAGTCAAGGTTGAATTGTTGTTATTTCAAAAGCTCAGATATAAAACCATAATTTTAAATGAGAAGTTTGTGTAATTATTGTTATCACAAAATGATTTAATTTATTAAGAACTTAAATTGGGAAAATTTTCGGTTTTTTTGGGCCAACTGTGCTACCAAATTAATGTAATATCGGTTTTAAATTGCTAAAGACAGTGAAAGCTATTGATGAATTGATGAATTTTCAAACTAGGTCCTAGTGGCAGCATTTTTACTTATTTTTTTTTATCAAATTGCGCCACCAAATTTATATATGTTATGCTTGTTTCAAGTTGAAAAGACAGTGAAGGTTAAATTGTTGAATTTTTAAGCAAAGTTGACGTAACAAAAAACTTCTTTTTATTTTTTTAATCAAAAATAGTCATAATTGATGTTAATTTTTGTTTCAAAGTTGGCAAATCTAAAAAATCAAATGCAAAATTTTTCTGAAATAATGGTGGGAACTAAAATATCCAGGTCCGTAATGCTCCATTTTTTAACAAATAAAAAAATCAAGATCATGTTTGTTGAAGCTTAATGTTAGGATTTTTTTTATTTTGAAAAGAAAAAAATCTTTTTTTGGAGTATAAAAGATAAAAACTGCAACTTTTTACACAAAAACTGTTTTTTTATAAAAAAAAATGTATTATTTGGAATAAAGTATGCAACACGATAAAGATGGAAAAATCGATGCATAATGGATAATTTTTGGCTTAAATTATTTTTCTCAGTTCTCTCTGAAGTAAAACAAATAATTTTTTATGAAAAAATAAGCCGCAAAAACGTAATTTAACACAAATAGATAGCACAGTTGGCAATCCTGAAAAACTTACTAGATGCAAATAAAAAATAACTGAAAGTAATCAGAGTAATCACATTCTACTTTGGTGCTTGAAAAATATTTTTTTAAAGATAATTTTTGTTCCAAAAATAGAAAAATTCGTAACCTTCGCTGGCCTTAGTAACTAAACCCTATCGTTATCACAGTAATGTAACTCGCCAGACTATCATATAATAGTTTTGATAAAAATAAACACCGCTATTTATAAACAAAAAGACCAACACTTAAAACACCGGCGTTTTGTTAGTTATCAAGCTATTCGACGCATGCATAGGATGACTCAACTAACCCTACATGTACAAAATGACTGCTTACAACTTTTACCAACATAAGGAAGAGAAAAAAATTTTATTTTTGATCAATCACCTGGTCACCAGCGCCGACTTCTTCCTCGTTACGATTCTCGTGCACCCCTGCAGCGATATTTGGGGACTGCTGGTCCAGAGCCAACAACACATTGCACGTCTTGTAATCAAAACCTGTGTGAAAATCGTGCATGCATAAATGACATGTTTGTGGAATAAGAGGGCCTAAAATGTAGCGACCTCGATGTGCAGTCTGTTTGATTTTTTTTAACATTAGTAAGAAAAAAAAATTGTGGAAAATTAAAGAAGCATGAAAAGAAGCTAAAGCCGTGCTTGTTCAACATGAAGCAGTCGTTTTTCCCCCAAAAGAAATCTTCAATACCTGATCACCGGCACCGATATCTCGCTCTTGGCGGTTTTCGTATACACCTTGTGCTATGTTTGGGGACTGCTGTTCAATAGCCACCAGAAGATTGAGTGTGCGCCAGTCCAATCCTAATCAAGTAATTTTTACCAATTTTTTTCTTTTTTCAATTTTTTGTGTCAGGCAAATTTGGAAAATTAGCAAGAAAAAAGCAAAGAAAAAAAAATTTTTTTTTAATGTTTTTTCATACCTTTACTGGAATCGTCATAACCGATATGTGCAACCGTCTCTCTGACAACTTTCTGGTAGTCGACAACAGCCTTTGATGTGATTTCGCCGCAAAGGAGGATCATTCCGGTTTTTGTCACAGTTTCTGAAACCAAAATTGTAGAAATTTCGCTCAATTACGATTAATTTTAATTACCGCAAGCCACTTTGGCGTCGGGGTCTTGCTGGAGGTGGGCGTCGAGGATGGCATCGCTGATTTGGTCGCACATTTTGTCTGGAAATGAGGAAAATTTGAATTTGGCGCAAAATTAACAATGATGACGCATGTTTAGTAATTTTTGGTTGGCAGAAACGGTTTGGTGGCCAGAAAATAATAAAAAGTGATAAAATTTACACAATTGAGACCATAAAAAAACATAATAAGACATAAAAACGGTTTTGGTTTTTCAAAGTTGACAGTATTGCATAACCACAGTTGCTATGGTTACAATTTGATGTTTGTGTTTCATGGCACACTTAAGAAAGCAAAATTACAGATTTTAATTAATAAATTTAAAATTATTGCAAACAACATTTGAACAATGGATGTTTTTCCTTGAAAGTGCATTTTTTTTAGTAAAAAAACCCTGACATTTTGGCCTGTAATTTTTCAAAAACATCTAAAATGTAAATGCGTGATTTTTATTTTTCGAATTTGGCAGTATTTGTCAGCAAATTACTGAAAACAAAAAAAAAACTATTTACAACAAATTTTCCTATAAAATATTTAGTTGTGACAGAGAGTGATTAAAAAAATATAAAAAACTCTTAATTTTTAGTTTTAGTTTTGAGGTTTGCAAACTTTTTGGTTCTAGTGAAAAAATCAGATATGTTCGATCATTTTTGTAAGAACGAAAATTACTCGAAAAACCGGTCTTGTGCATTCATTATTTATTTTGATTTTCCAGATTGGCAGCATTGTTCTGTAAATTACTACAATAAAACTATTATTGCCCAATAAAATTGTGATAACTCAAAGCAATTTACTAGTTATTTAAAAAAAAAATAAAAAATCGTTTATTTTTTAATATTACGACAAATTGTGAAAAACAAATTGCTTGAAAAACCTCGATTTAGTGACTTTATATTTCAATTTTCCGAAGTTGGCAACATTATTCTGCAAAACAACTCCACTTAATAGGTATTTAATTTTCAGTTTTTAAGGTTGACAAAACTTGGAAAAGAAAAAATAGTTTTTTTAAATAAAAAAAATTAATTTAAAATAAAAAAATACTAATTGTTAATTTTTAAGTCTGGCAAACTTTTTGTATATAATGAAGCGCTTACGTAATCAATAGAGTGAAAAAATTAACCTTGTTTATTTTTTTTAATATTATTACAACGGTAATGTAATACAGAATTGTTGATTTTGTGACTTTGTTTTTCGATTTTTCGAAGTTGGCACCATGTTTCTAAAAAAAAAAACTCCAACCTATAGATATTTAATTTCCAGTTTTTAAGGCTGAAAAAAACTGCCTCTACAAAAAAAAATTGTTTAACATGAAAAAAATTAATTTAAGTTGAAAATACACAATTGATTCTTGAGTTTGGCAAAACTTTTATGTAAAATAAAGCTTTTAAAAATTATACTTGCTTATTTTTTAAGTATTATAACAAAATTATGAAAAATTGTCGATTTAATGACTTAATTTTTCAATTTTCCGAAGTTGGCAACATTATTCTGCAATAAAAACTCCAACTAATTTGTATTTAGTTTTTAAGGTTGATCAAAGTTAGAAAACGTTGTTCTTTCACACAAAAGAAAAAATTGTTTTTTTTTTTTAATAGAGAAAAAATAAATTTAAAATAAAAATGTATAAAATGAAGCGTTTACACAATCTTTTCAACACAGAGTGAAAAAATTTGCCTTGTTATTTTTATTTTTTATTATTATTACAACAATAATGTTACGTAAAATTGCTGGATTTTGTGACTTTTGATTTTTCGAATTTCCAAAACTGTGAATTACAAAAAAAATTGTTTGACATAAAAAAATAACTTAAAATAAAAATATACTATTTTTTAATTCTTGAGGTTGCCAATTCTTTTATGTAAAATAAAGCTTTTAAAAATTAGACTTGTTTTTCAAGTATTAGAAGTATAACAAAAATATGAAAAATTGCTTGAAACTACACAGAAAAAATAATGTTTTTTCGTAGTGTTTCATTTTAAGAAGTTGGCAATATTTTGTGCTCAATAATAATTGGGGGATTCAAACTTTCAAGCCCAGACATCACGTGACAATAATCAATAAAAAACGAAAACAAACAAATATTTCGTTTTGGTTAGTTGGCACTACTTCATGCAAATCAAAGCCCAGTTGATCCCCCAATAAAACACCAAAATATCACTAAGAAATGTGGTAAAATCAGTAAAAAACTAGTTTTTGTACTTTTGCAAATTACGCAAAAACAGCCCCCTGACCGCAAAACCGACCCTGGGGGCCGTTGAAAAATCGCAAACCACGTGAGATCAATGAACCTAACCTCACTTTCCCAACCGACGCATGTCGCATTTTCGGTCTTTGGGGCACTGATGGGCGTCCTCGGCCCCCCAGCGCCCCAAATCGTCGGTAATTCAAGCCCCGTTCCCGAAATAGCGTGCGCACCGTCGCCATATTTCCATATTAAAGAAATGGTAAAATAGTAATGGGTACCCACCTGGGTGTCCCTCCCCCACCGATTCGGACGTGAAGAGGAAATTGGACCCATCCTCCATTTCGTACATGTTGTTATGGCCGTTGGTGTAACCGTTGGTAAGCGACGACGTTTCCGGCATTTTCTGAACCTTGGTCGAACACTGACACAACCTACAAACTTTTGGTGGAAAAGAGGACGAAATGGTGGGAGACTAGCACTTTTATAACGCGACCAAGTTCACGTGGTCACTAAACGTACGCTGATTGGACGAGAAACGGCGCCAAATCTGAAACAGGAGACCACCGGTCGATACTCAAACAAACAAACAACTGAAGACAACGAGCACAGCCCTCTATTTTTAAGACACGCAATTACACAATTCGTGAGTTTTGTTACTGGAAATAACCGGAGGACATTTTCACAACTCTGACCCGCGATAAAAACACTTTTTGCAACATACCTACCAAAAACAAAACACTAGCACTGGACCGATGACTGACTCAATTTGAAGACGAATCATGTTATCTGAGACTTTTATAGACCACTAGATGATGAAATTGACACGCCATGGTGACAAATATTATTACCATGGTAACAAATGTTATTGTCATGGATACGGCCCAAGCCGCCTGCGATAACCAAGAAACAGTATATATTATATTGTTTAGACGTTCTTTTTTTCTGAAAACTGACACGCCAGCACCTGATTAAGTGAAACAAGGCACGTGTGTGAAATTAAATGAATGAATTTCCTGTCTGGAAGCAAATTCAATCGAATTTTTTGACTAATTGAGTTTAATCAAAGTTTCACAATTTTTGACCTTTTTGATACACAGTATCGTGCCGATTTTCTTGCTTAATGTTTGGGCATTGTGTAATTTTTGCAAGGAGTTACAAGGGAAGGGCAAAGGTTGGAAAAACAAATGCATTGGAAAAATGGAAATGGTGGATATTGTGTTCCTGGCCGGATTTGGACGCCGATAACCTCTAAAAGACAATATGAAGTTTTTTGTTTATCGCTGTTTATTTTTTTTTCAAGGCGAAATAGATGCAACCGTTTCATAATTTCAGAATTGTGCGATAAAAAGTCGCATGAAGGGGTCAAGTCTGCGCAATTGGGGAAATGGGCACTTGGGGGGCCGGATTTGAGGCCGTGTGAAATGCAATGGTGGTGCAAAATGTCGTTTTCCGGCTATCAGGGATTGAAAATCGCACAAGTTTATGGAAATGGCCACAAATATGACCCGATCCAAGTCCACGCCGAGAAGAAATTAAAAAAACAAACTATATATTGTCATTACTACAATTTATATTTTATTGCATATTTGAAAACACATTAAATAAACAACCTACTCTTTTATTAAACTTTTGATCAAAAATTCAAAAAATTGAACTCCATGGTATATTTGGGTCAAAAGTTTTATAATGGCCACTAAGATGGTCAGATCTGAGGCTCTGTGAAACCTCTTGGTGTTTCAAAACTCGAATTTTTGCGATTTTTGTGATTAAAACATCAAATAAAAGACTCGAATTGGATGGAATTTAGCTCAAATTATTGAAATGGCCACGAAACCGGCCAGATTTAAGTTTGTGCAAAAAAAACACTGCAACAAATTTGTCCTTCTACCAAAAAAAGCAAAATTATGGATTTTAATCAAGAAATTTAAAATTGATGAGGCAAAAATTTTAATATTGCAACAATAGATGTTTTTCGAATTTGCAACTAAAAAAACCTTGCAAAGCTGACATTTTGGCCTTAAAAACATTTAAAATGTAAAAATTGTGTAAAATAAAAGAAAACTGAATATTTTTGGTTTTACTTTTATACAGTTGACACAATATTAAAAAATGAAGCATCCAAATTAAGAAATTAAAAAAAAACAAACTATAGTGTCATTATTACAATTTATATTTTAATGCACGTTAAATAAAAAAGCCATTTTTTTATTAAACCCTTTATCAAAAATTCAAAAAATTGAGGTTTATGGTATATTATAGTAAAACATTTTGAAATGGCCACTTAGACGGCCAGATCTGAGGCTGTGTGAAACCTCTTGGTGTTTCAAAACTCGAATTTTTGCGATTTTTGTGAAAAAACATCAAATAAAAGAGTTGAATTGGATGGAATTTAGCTCAAATTATTAAAATGGCCACGAAACTGGCAAGAAAGGTTTTTTTGCAATTTTTAGTTTTTTTATGGTGTTGGTGTTTTCATATTTTTTTTATAACACACTGCAACAAATTTGTCCTACCAAAAAAAGGAAAATTATGGATTTTTAACAAGAAATTTAAAATTGATGAGGCAAAAATTTTAATATTCCAACAATGGATGTTTTTCTTTGAACTTTCAACTAAAAAACCTTGCAAAGCTGACATTTTGGCCTTAAAAACATTTAAAATGTAAAAATTGTGTAAAATAAAAGGCAACAGATATTTTTTTTCGGTTTTTCTTTTATACAGTTGACACAATTTTTACAAAATGGAGCTTCCAAATTGTCCAGATTTAAGTCTGGGTGAAATTTTTCATACAGGTTTTCGATTTTTTCAATGTCTTGGTAGTAAAAATCATTTCAAGTTTTGTTTTGTTTTTTTTTTTAAATTTGTAATTGAACCTTTTGATGAATTTTTACGATAGAAATTTCAAATAAAAGAGTCCAATTGGATGAAATTTAACCCAAATTATTGAAATGGCCACGAAACCGGCCAGATTTTAGTTTGTGCGAAATATACAAGGTGAATATAAACCAAGCGTTTTTTTTTTTAATTATTTGCCCCCAGAAAAATAATTAATATAAATTAAAGAAATGTGA